GATTTTTTCTATCCTCTATCTGAAAGTGGATTCAGTTCCTTATGGTTTTTCCGGTTAAGGGATGGCAACCCTATCCAAAGCCTCAATACAACGTATGTTGGAACAAATGATTTGATGCTCAACCAATGATCACAGTTTGTTCTTTCTCCTTCCACTAAAATCCTCTTTATTCCGAGCCTTATTAGCCACAATTCTTGACCAAATAATTTGGCTTAGTTCAGGACATTTCTTCTGTTGGTTGTATCTTCTTATGCCACCCTACGAAATCTGAACTAATATTTCTGTTGAAACCCTAGCCATATGGCATTCTTATATGCTGGAAATTGAGGGTCTATTGTACTTTTCTCATCAACTTCAACTAGTGGTCACCCCGCCCTTCAAAGATTGGTGGGCGGACATCAGCAAATGACTGTTGCCAGAATCTCCAATCACCTATGTGGTTAAATTAATAGATGAACGTTTCAACGACGAAGCTGCCCCAACTTTGAAGTTGAAGACATATTGGTGACCAGATCCATTCCGGCTTCAGGTATTTCCTTTTAAACTTCTACATTATTTCATTGGCGGATATTGACTGATTTTTTTCCCTCTCCTTTGCAACTATATCCTCTAATAAAGCATCCATAGTCTCTGCTTCCACATCCTCTAGACGTTGTTTCTTCAGAGGTTTGCCACACCGGAGGTCACTCCACGCCCAAGCACTCTGAGAGCTACCAAGAAACCTGATGAAGCATCTCCCCACTACCAAGTACAAGATTACTTCATTTCTCCAAACTTTTTGTGTTCTTTTTGGAATGCTAGCATTTTGTTTTTTAAGGCGCCTCCGAAGAAACCGACCATAAAGACTCTTCGTGTTTCTCCTCCTCTACTAGCTCCAAAACTTGAGCTAGAGTCCACTCCTACCCCTTCCATTCCATTGGCAGACATGAAGAAGTACTTCTTTAGTAGCTCTACTCGTCCACCGGTCGTGGAATCTCAAAAATTTCATTAGCTCTCGAAAATCCGATGGACACTCTTTTGGTTGGCATGTCGTCGAGCCCACAAACTTTCGAGATCATCCAAGTATTGTTACTCTAGATGATAGAAAAACAAAACCAATGACCCATAACGCCTTTCCATCTTGGAAAGCCTGGTGGACTGAGTTGGCGATGTGGTGGTGAACAGATCCAAACTCCTCCACGCCTTTCAGGGGAAGAACCAAAGGAAAATGGACTGTCTATCAGTTTTGGAACAGCATAAATGCATGCATATGTCTGCCTTCACCATAGAATACCAAACTTTAGATGAAGAGGAATTAGGGGTGAAGGCCTTGCGGGCAAAACAAGAGTACCTTTGAGCTGAAGTAGAAAGAAAGCAACAATGATTGAAGAAACTTTCTACCCTCATTGTTCAATTGGATGCAAGCTTGATTGATTGCACCTCCCGCCAGGTGAACTTGATTGAAAAATCAAAGAAGATTGACCTACTACTTGTAGAACTGTGGCAGAAATGGTGTTGTTTGAGAAGAATCCGGAGAAGGCAGCTTGAGGGTTGGAAGAATTGCAAGAGGTCTGAGATAAACTTGCCACCATCTAGATGTCACTCCAAACTGCTGACGTGGAGGGACTCTCCATTAGCCCAGGTATTTCTACCGATCAAGCTGTTGATCTTTCTAGCCTTGCCACCTCCATTCTTAGTGAGTTGTAGTCCACTTCTCCATATTACTTTAGTCCTTCATTCCACTGAATCCACTAATCCACCAATGAAGACTTCTCAGACCGTAGCTAAATCCGTCCTTCAGGATCCTCCATCTATAGTAGAATGATTCCCTTTCTAAACTATTGAGCTAATTTGGCCTGTCTAAACTTCATGTTTTATTTTGTTTTGGTGAACTTGTTTCGACCGCTTTTTTAGTATGATATATGCTTTATTAATCCATATATTTCCAAAAAGATGGATAGAATTTCTGTAAATGTTTTTCGTTTATGGTAACATCAAACTTTTTTCCTTCAAGCTCGATAATTTTTTGCGCCATTAAGAAACTTGGCTGAAATCGTCTATGGCCCTTCCCAATTGAGTGACTATTTTCCAAGTTCAGCATCTTTTGCATATTGTGGAAAAAAGACCTTAAGCACTAAATCTTCTTCCTGAAAGGACATAGGCCAAACATGTTTGTTAAATCTCTCTCAGTTTTTTTATTCTTCATTAAGATATATTCCAAATTTGAAGTCTTTCTTCAGGTAGAGAATACAACTCTTTTAACAAGGCAACCTTATTTCCTCCATTGAGAGTTTATTCTGTTTAAGTATCCGCAAAGATGGCACTGTAATCTCTACAGGTAAAACTGCATCATGTCTGTAGCTCAATCTAAAAGGGGTAATCTCAGTCACCAATGAATTTGCATTGCAGTAAGCCTTTAGTACTTCTTCCAATGTCGCATGTCATCCTCGTGGATTTTTTTATAATGACTTCCTCACTATAGAAATCAACACTTTGTTTCTTGCTTTTGTCTGCCCATTAATTTGTGGATAATAGGGTGTGGAATCCAGGATCTTAATCCCTTATTTGGAAACAAAGGCTTTAACTCTCTCACTGGTGATATCTGTCCCTTGATAGGTGATGGTTTCCGGAATCCCAAATCGATAAATCAATTTATGTTTTATGAACTTGATCACATAACTCTGGCAGACTTGGAGTAGTGGCACAACTTCCGTCCACTTGGTAAAATAATTTGTGGCTACCAGGATGAATGAATGAATGATCCTTTGACAATGACGGATAGATATTTCCAATAATATCCATAACCCAAGCTCGGAAAGACCATGGCTTCACAATGAAATTCAGCTCTTCCACTAGAATTAGCCGGATTAGACCGTAATGCTAGTGTGCCTCACAGCTACGAGCATATTTTATGCAATCCCTAGAGATTGTGTATTAAATATACCCATAAAGGAAAATAGTCCATATCATGTTTGCTCCATTACAATGAGCTTTATTTATGCTCTCATACATATCCGTCATCATCTTCTTTGCTTCCATATGTCTTAGGCATCAAGGATTCCATTCGGCCTTCTGTTAAACAATTTTACATCTAGCACAGTATATCTAGTAGGTGCTCTTTCAGCTCTCTAGAAGCTATTGTACTCAGATCTGCTAGCGTTCCTAGGTACTCCTTCCACCAATCTGCTAGATTCACGTCTGCTACACATACCATGCATTTCCGCTAATATCTGGAAGCTTCATGTACTAAGCCATTTTCCTCTATATTTTTCTTCTTGGGGATATCTTCCAAAGCTACTTTGTCAAACTGTTTCAACAAAATTTTCATTTCCTTTAGGACCTCTTGCAAATTTGGCTTCTTGCAGCGGACCTATCCCAACGTTTGACGGATCACTAATTGAAAATCTCCTTTGATATGGATATTTTTCATGTTAATACTAGGAACTGCAAGGCAATCAATAAAGCTTTATACTATGCCTGGTTATTGGTGTATTATAATGGCAATTGAGAAGAAATACGCCAATCTTGTCTTTTAAGACTTATGATCACTACTCCAGTGCTGGTGGATCCTCATGTACTAGATCCATCAAATAGAACCTCCTACGGTTTTAGCCCAATGTAAGCTGATGTAATATGACTGAATGAACCATTCCAGAATGTTCCACTAGAAAATCTACTATTGTTTGCCTTTTGACAGCACAGAGAGGCTCATATGTCAATGCAAAAGAAACCAATTTTATAGCCCATTTTACTGAAAGCCTCGAAGAGCTAGGCTGGTTAGAAAATGGCTCAAGAGATCCCCTTGCAAAGCGCTTTTGTTTCCACCGGCTCTGAGGTAGTATTCTAATTTGGTGCATATATGGTAAGTGATAAACACAACTTCTCAATAGGGAAATACCGAGATCCCTACCCTCTACGTCTCTTGGGCTAACAAACATCAAATGTTATCATTAGTAGCAGCGATATATAATTTCAACTCCTTTCCTAGAATAGACGGAATCAACACTGATGAAGATGTCACCACTTATTTGATTTGGTCTAGAGATTTCTGCTACGACTTTCTGTTAATTGATTGCTCGTAACTCCCTTCATCAAAGCATGGTAACTCCTATGTCTCCTTCAATGATCAACTCCTTGACCAACACATATCATTTAGTAACCACCAAAACATTACCATAATTCTTGAATAACACATCATTTGTTAACCCTCGACTCAGTGAATAGTTTCTTTCTGAATGTGCGTAACTTCATCCCCCAAGTCTTTAATTGCTAGACTTTAATTACATTAGAGTAAATCCCAAGTTGTTTTAAGTATCAAACCCTACTTCCTTGATGATCATCAAGATTTCTGCAGCCATAACTCATTTTCATCAATTTTTTCGCAAAGCTATGGATTTGTCTGCAGCAACCTGGGTCTTTTCCACTGGACTTGATCGACTTGAGCCTTGCTCTCTAATATGGTTGTTGTTTCCTTAATTGGTTTGGCCTCCTCGGATTTGGGCCAGTCTAATCATTGGGTTTTTCCATCAATAATTATTTTACGGACCCAAAGAGTTAGTTTGGAAGTATTCCTCATTAAGTAAATCCCACATCAAATAGTTACTACTCACCACCAGTCTAACGCGAGCGAGTTTTCTTCCATACACTCATCATCCATTCATAATAGATTGCGATAATCAAGGGAGAAGTTTATCTATTGTCCTATCATAAGAATATAATAATATATCTTATATAAAATGAATATTATATATTGTTCAAGAGAGTAAGTATTTTTTAAAGAAAATTTATAGTCCATTCTTTCGCACATATAATTATTTTTTTGTGGTTTGTTCCTAGAGGATTTTCCATGTAAATTTGTGTTAATATATTTTACTAACATTGAACTATACTCTTCATCAAATTTTCACTAGTCAAGTTCCGTGTATATATATATATATATTGACCAAAAAATTCTCCAACACTAAGTTTTGTGATTTTAATGATACGTAGGGTGTTTAGTAAATGATGGTTCCAAAGAATACCGGGGATCAAGATCCAGGAAAGCAGCGGAGACATGATGGAACTCCTCCATAAGAACTTTTTCGTCCTTTGTGCCACCTGCCGGTCCGAAACCATTTGAGCGAAAATGTCAAAGTGATGATGAACTCGTTCAAAGATAAACTAAATTTAAAGGGAACGGAAAGATGAATCAATTTATATGAATAACTTTTTCCAAGAAAATATCACGACATGTAAAAGTAGTGCCATAATTTAAGAACTCACATGAAAAACTCCTTTCTTTATCGCGTATGTGACTATGGAAAGATTGTAGAAGAGGTAGTTTAATCTCTGCGGCTATACTTGTATCATCCTCTGCAATTCAAAAAGAAAAGAAACGGAAAGGAAAATTCTTACCAACATTTTGAGTTAATAAAAAATTCAATCATGTACATCGTATTTGAGAGATTACCTATTGTGTCGAGTGCTCGAAGAACTAGATAGAAAATACAAATCTGCAAAGTTCAGACAACAAGAAAAACGTGAACAATGTTCTTATATACTCTGACTTCTTGTTGTTCATTTTAGTCGGATCAGGGTATATTCAAACCAAAGGGATTCATGTTGAACTAAACAGAGTTGGGAGGTGTGGAGTACATGCTCGTATAAGTTGAAACGATATCAAACTCAAATTTGGAAGGTGTTCGAGGGGACTGCGCCATTGTCAAGGAAAAATTATTTGGAGATAGTAGAAATTCAATCCAAACCTAATCGAAACACACCCATAATAATACACCACATTATATATATATATATATATATATAATAGTTTGAATTCTTTCTATTTCTAACAAGAGTGCTTCAAAAGATTATAGTTTGATATCAACAAATTTAATTGTGTTTTTCGAAGTTATTTCTTGATTTTTACTATTTATACTATGTATTTTTTAATAATATATATTTTTTTTATCTAAAAAATGTACAAACCAATTTGCGATTTTTTTGTATTTTCATTTGTGTTTTTTGATTTTTGGGTAAAATAGTAATCAGAGTTTATATGGCACATTTTTTAAGTGTTGACATTATTAATTAAAATATTTTTATAAATAACGCCCCATTTAATATATATTTGTAATTAAAAATTATATTTAAAAGTTACTTTTATATATTATCCAACACTTTTTTAAGCACATGAAATATTTATTTTTTTGTTTAAATTTATTATTATTATTATTGTTTTTGTTGTTGTTGTTGTCAACACCTTCCAAAATTTTCAAACTATTCTATATGAGCCTTTGAAATATAGAGAAAAATAATGTTAAATTTAGAATGTGTGATGCTGATTGCATGAATTGAGGTGGCTGAACAAAACAAAAATTGCCAATCGGTGTCGGACATAATTTTAATATTTGATAATAAAAAATAAAAACCAAGATATAGACAGAAACAAGTAAAAAAAAAAAAAAAGATTTGCAAAATGGTTTTGGAAAAAAAAAAAAAAAACCCTGAGAAAATATCATTTGAAGTTTGAATAGACAAAAAAATATTAGACATTATCACATTAGAATGAGTTTGGTTTGTTAGACTGTGGAATAAGCAATGCAAATTTTATTAATTTCCGAGCAAATTGCATCATTGTGTATATTTAGAGACTACATACTACTATATATCTATTCCATAATAACAAAGCATATTCACTTTCTGTTTGCTTATTATCATTATTTTTATTATTGGTCAAATCATTGTTTAAGTTAGTTTTGTTCCCCTCTCATTAGATATTGCAACCAACTATTGTCAAAACATATTAGATCAAGTGCATAAATTAAAATTAAAGTTAAAATTAAAATTTCAGCACCTGTGCTGATCATTTAGAAAATAATATACGAAATTATATTATTAGTAAATTAAATTATTAAGTAATCAGCGTGTCAAAATACAAAATAAAATTAACAACTACTGTAATTTGGTTTGTTTATGTGTTTAATTTTATTTCTATTTAAGTAATGATTGAATTTAATATTTTGTAAAAAAATTGATATATTATGTGATGTAAATTAACAAATATTAAAGTTATTTCAAAATTATTAACAACAACAACAAAAAAGAAAAGCAATGTGAATTAAGAATCTGAGAGTATTAATATTTAAAAAGGGATTAAAGAGTAGTGGGATGGATGATGATAAACTCACAGCATCACGAACATGGGGATGAAGGTGGTGAATAAGGACGAGACGACCTTCCAATTTGGCAAGCATAGAGTAACATATCTGCCAGTGCCGCGGCTCTGCCGGAATCTGCATCTCCGAAGCTATGGATGCCAGCTTCAACCTCACCATCGGACAAAGCTCATCCGGATGCCTCCAAATGGACCGCAAACTTTCCACTTTCAAATTTGATCTTTTTCTACCAATGCTGCTGCTAAGCTGTTGTCCTCCGAATTGGAGAGCAGGGCTACTTACTGCTGCAAACACTTTCCAACCAACAAATATATTTCCAATTAATCGAGGCTCTCTCTCTCTCTCTCTCTCTCTCTCTACTTATTATGCTTTCAAACTAAATTCTTCTTCTTCATCAAACTTAATTTCTCCATTTTAATTATATAAAACATATATATATATATATCCAATCAAAAATACTTATTTTCAATCCATTCAAAGTTTTGTTATTTCAAAACCATATATATAAAACACTCAGAAAATGAAGTATGAAATATAGGCGATATCCACTATATATTCTAGGATTGAAATGCATATATATATGTGCTTACTTGTCACGATTCAATCCAAATATCAGTCGCCTTAATCTGTAGCATGCACTTTGATTCCTATGATAGTGAAATTACCTTATAAAGTCAAGCATCATAGATATATATATATATGTATATATATAGTGAATGACCGATGAGCCTATATATTATATATATTATAATGTAAGATATAAATTTGATTAGATATTAATTTCAAAAATACATATTCCAAGTGTTTTAGAAAACTATAATATGGATGTTGTTGAATATATTTCTATACATCATTTACATCTTAAGAATGGGGTGAATACAAAACACAGCCTTAAATTATTAAAGCTGTCACTATTATTATTATTATTATTATTATTATTATTATTATTATTATTATTATTATTATTATTATTTATTTATCAGTATTATTAAAAAAAAAAGCACATGGATTTATTGTTTCAAGATAATAATAATAATAATATATTATATGAGGATAAATTGAGAAATAGCAACGTGGTTTGCCCGTTACGTCATCAATAATTAATAATATATTCAAATGAAACAAACTGTAAGAAGGATGCATGCTCTCTACGCTTAACAAACATAGTTACATGCCGGAAATAAAGGTCTGAATTACTTGTTCAATCTATTTTATTTAAATATATATTGACAATAATTTATTTGATGGAAATGGCGTGTGATAATGAAAATAAAATTGGAAACACGATCGGAGAAAGTCTTCTTCCCATAAAATGAAATATAAGTCCAGTAAAAGATGCTATGGGCTGGTGGGGGTCATATGTTCAAACCTTCGACGCCTTCAGATCTTGTCTGCCACACATGATTTATCTAGTGTAATTTATATTATCGAACCTAGTTTACAGGCTATTAGGTTCATCCGTTGTTTTACCTAGAGCGCATTCAATGATTACGGTTTCAAGTTCCCACGTCATCAATATATGTAAGTTGTAGTGCTTTAATATAACTAATTGTTCCCAAATAGTTAAAATGTTTCTCGAAGAAACACTATGATTGAAGTCGACAGAGAATGGAACAAAAGTAAGATCTATCATCAATGAAAAGGAAAAACTCCTAGGTGATCTTTTTGCGTCCGTGGAAAAAGGGATTGGCAGAAAATCCGCCGATTAGGATGAAAGAAAAAAAATAAAAACTTAAAAATAAATTACATTGAACTAGAAAAAGTTACAAGAGGAATTGAAAGAAAAATCGTAAAGAAAGTTGGTAAATATGCAAAAGAGTTAAATACTTGAAAAAGTAAAATACTAGAAATAAGGATAACAAGATAAATATAAAGTTAGTTGATTGGATTGGTCGAGGACCTTTTCTTCTTCGACATCTTGCTCCTTTTATACCGTACCAAAGCATTATCTTTCACCTTCATTAAATCTCATCATTAATCCTACTTTATAACTACATGTAACCGCTACAATATTCTTACTCTTTGATGACCCATAATTGAAGAATATGACCTATGATCATCCAACAGCTGAAACCTCCTAAAAAACATTGAATTTCATCTCCCAACTCTCAACTCTCTTAAAGTTCGCCTCCCTTGAGCTTTTAATCACCCTTTTTTTTTTTATCATTGATTAAAGTAACTTTCGCCTTAATTACTCTTCATTAATTAATCTTTAGTAACCCCCGAGTTATTCTTTAATCATCCATCCTTCATTGCGGCCATTATGATTTCTGCAACCATTGCTTCCATTTTTACGCAAGGCTGTGGATTTTTCCTCAGTGTGTTGAGCTTCTTCCAAATGGGCAAATTTTAGGCTGCTTACTAGCTTCTTAGACCTCCGACGATTTGGTCTACTCCCAACAATTGGGCCCACTTGGACTTTCTTAATCTCATTTTCTTTAGTCTTGCCGGCTGCAAATTTTTCTATTGAAAAATGGACCCTGAAGTTCTTTTTGGGCTGTACTTCCACTGAGCTTAATCAACTTGGCTTCATTTTCTCACCACGGGCTGTTTTCTTGTGTGGAATTTTCCTCAGATTTTGGGTTCAACTCCTTACTTGGACCTCTGCGGGTTTAGGCCAGCATCAATGGGTTTTTCCACCAATAATAATTTTTTGGGTCCAACATTTCTAAAATTTGGTGGGTTTCTTGGTATAACAAATACCCCCCAAAATATTTGGATGGTTTGACTTCCAAAAATATCTAACATTTTTGTAATATAATTTTCCTTCAAGAAGTTCACTGGATTACCTTCTAGTGGCAGAACGAATGGCCAAGAAGCAGGATCTCTTCTCCACCCTGCAGACTGGTGTTAGCACTATTTTCGTCGCTTTCAAGCCTAAGAGGATAGTTTTGTGTGTCCTTCTAGTTGATTTTGTTTGCAGCTCCCACATGCACTTCCTCTTTGATTTTGAAAATTAGCTTTGGATTGAATTGTCTGGTAGGCAGTCAAGGTTCCACCAAACTTCAAACCAACCTAGGCATTTCATGATGCTCTCAAGTGAAGTAGTCCTAAAACTCTTGAATCAGTGCAATCAGCTTCTCTTTTGGCTCCTAGGCTAGTAAAGTCCTGATCTTTGTCATTCGAGGCTCCATTTTATTTTCTAAGTTGACATCCTCTAGTGGATCTTAAGCTTCAAATGGCGGAACTTTCCTCCGAATGGATAGAATCAACTTTTCATCATCGGGACTACTGATGGGTGGTGAAATTTCTTCAAGTATTTCTTGCCCCCTTAGCAGATTCCGCTATTTGCTCCTCGTAGGATAGCCTCCGCAGCAGGTCCTTTCATTTGTTGAAGAACTCGAGGTCATCAGCCTTTACATTCTTTTATGAAATATGGTTGTAGGTCGGCCTTCGTCCGGACCTCAAATACCTGGGGGTAATGTTGCATTCCTCCAAATTCTTGAAATCCTGCACCATCATTGACAAAGGGTACACATTTGGAGAATAGTTTATTGCCTCTATAGCATGGGCCTCCATAAGCGGATCCGCTTCTACCTCTACTATATTCACCTTATCCCCATTCTAAAACATGGCTTTCTAGTGGACTGTGATAGGCATACAATGTAATGTGTGGATCAGGTCATGAAAAAGGATGGCAAAATATGCTCTTTTCCCTTTAATCATGAAGAACGCTATCCAACCCTTTCTACTTCAAACGGTGACATCCGCCACCACCATTCCAACAACCTTGTGAACATTATCTATAAAATCCTTTTAATACATGGCCGTTTGAATCAACTCGTTGTTGGTCTCCCCAATCTTTCTCACCATGGCTAGCATCATGATATTAACGGAAGTTTCGCCATCCATTTACACCTTACTCATTGTCTACCCGTTCAGGGTGATAGTGAGAAAGAGAAGCTTCAGACGCCGGGTTGCTTCCTTAGTAGGTATTTTGAAAACCAAGTCTTCCTACCTATTCTGTAGGATTTTTCATGTAATCAGCCCACAAAATTTGCTTAGAACCGTCCATCGAGAATGATGCACTTGGATCGCCATTTCTGCTTTGTCCGCAAGTGGCTCCGCAAATCTCCTTGTGGTTGATGGTTGTAACCTCCAAAATTCATAGGTTTTGCCTTGTTGTGGATATCTATCTGAAAGGTTGTCTTTTGTGCTCGATGTTGGCTGCATTTACCACTTTTGCGTCTTGATTAGCGGTTTCTATCGATTTTTCTGCTAGTTCACTATCCATCTGCCATGTGCTGGAGGTTGCTCCAAACATCGTGTGGGTTGTAGATTTATTACCACCTGGTTCACTAAAGATAAGAAACTAACTTCCATCACTATATGATAAGGTGAAAATATGTTTAAAATAGAAATCCCCAATGGTGGCCTAGTGTCATGCCCGATCCTAGTGAGTGTATCCTCCCACAGTAGCTTTCAACCCTCATGTAGTATGGGTTGTTTAGTCTTCCAACATGGCTTCCAACCCTCATGTAGTATTGGTAAAACAAGTAATTGGTTTTGGTCTGGCTGCACTCTAATAATATCAGTGGATTAACGGCTGAAGGTGGCCCTATTGGCCGTCTTCTAGGTCTTAGCAATCTTTTACATCCTGAAATTCTTGAGGGACCATAGGATGTTCCTCCTAGCTTCTTTGACTTTTCGAAAGTTCTTTCCACCACTAGAAACTTCAAAAACAACTTTAGGAAGAAATGTCTCCCAATGGGGCTTTTTTCTGCTGATCCTCCTGACCTTTTTCCGCTAGTAAGCCTTGAAAAAGAACTTCCAATGTTAGCAAGTCACCGGTGACTAGTGGAAGTATCTTTTGGAACCCGTCTCTTGTGCTTATTGTTGGTGGCAGAATTCTACTTTACACATGAGGCACCTGGTGGAAGTTGAAGAGGTAATGGGCGGCTCTTTTTGGGAAGCCTGCTTGATATTAATAAATTCAGGGGAACCTGGTGGAAGTTGAAGAGATAATGGCTTACCTTGGGGAAGGCATGATTAAAAGCATTCTGGTACTATCACATCCCGGAGAAGAAGGTGGTTCTCTCCAATTCGGTCTGGAACAGACCGTTGGTATAGTGGCCTTGTAAGTATTTTGAGAGCATTACTAAAAACATTGTGGAGCATTTTCTCCAATGCATCCAGATCTGTTGGAGGATTTATTGGCATATTTTTCTCTGCCCTTGTGGTTGATATACCACTGGTAGAACCTGTTGAACCATTTTTGTAGTAGGGTGTTCATCCATATGAGAAAACCACAAAGACCATATTTACCACCTACTGAATGTGGCTGATTTTCCATTGAAAGTGGCGGAATCAGACTCATTGGTCCTCTTATAGGCAGCCTTGGTCGTAGCACTTCTTGGACGGCCTCGAGTGGTACTACGAAAGGCCGATTGTAGGAATCGGCCGCTCCATTGGAATCCGAAAAGGTGGATATGAGCTAATATTCTCGGATGCATGTTGTTGTAGTGCATATAGAAATGCTATGTTTGTTCTGCTTTCCATGATCATCTGCCCCTCAGCCGATATGTAAATTGGTGGAATCTGGGGGTACGAACCTCATAAGGTTTATATATTATTGTTGACTCCATGCCGCCCAATGTACCCAAGGTTCCGCTGGAAATGATTGAGGGATATTAATGATATTATCAGCCAACAAAATATAAATCTTACTATCTGATTTCA